CACTGTGCCTCGACAGTCCATGTACGAATGGGCCGCTGGGATCAAACTGAACATTTTGTGTCTAACACTTGGAACCTCGCGAGTGTGTTCGTTTGTGTTGTGCCTTTAGAATTTACTCTGACTACTGTGATTTTTTCTCACTTTGACAGTCCTTCGGCCGAGTACTCCCGGCTGGAATCAGCCCTGTTGGACTGCTGCTGCTCTCTCATGGTTTTTATACCGCGACAAACTCGCAACGGTGCGTTGCTCCGACGTCAGATTGTGGAACGAGCAGGAGTGTTGCAGACGTGTCTGCATTTCTTGTGGGACACTGTACCCCCCTGTGCACTGGAATTGGAGGAAGGCACCGCGCTGAAGTGAGTCTCCTGTAACCTTCCTGACCTTCCATTCGCGGATTAAAAGCCGCGATATTCCTTCATCTTATCTCCCTCCCAGAAGGCGCTCACTGTGTGTCTGGGTTGGTCCCCACTGACTATGTTGAAATATATCAGCCTGTGTTCTTACCTTAAATGTATATCCGGTCTGAACTTTTCTTTGATTCCCCTCAGTACAAACGACCCAGAGATAGCTGCTTTCCTATCTCTACCTGCGTTGCCTTACGTTCTTCAAGGCCTACGCGCCTGCCTAAGCGGAGATCAAGACTCGGAATGCCTATCTCAGTCGTCAGATTATCAATCGCGCCAACCCGGTCGACCTGCAGTGACGGCGGATCGGTTGTTACATCTGTTTCATCTACTGGAGACAAGCAAGTCAGCTGGTCGCGTGGGTCTTCTGGCCGAAGACATGCTCACGGAATGGTGCCCGAGCAAGCAAACCGTAGGCTCACGTTTCAAGCATCAGGCTCTCGTGGATTCGCCTCCTCGAAGCGGCACGATGGCCTCTGTTATCCAAAGTTTACGCAAGTCCACTTCTTTAAGAACGCGGCGTTTAGCACTTAACATGCGTCAACGTCAACTGCGAAGCTTGAACATGCGAGTGGACGAGAAAGGCCAGGTTCGTTGGGCAGATTTGAACTATCTATTCGAATAGTGTCTTGTTTGTTCAGTTTCGAACGTTCTCTCATTATGTATGGGACAACGAACCGATTATTGCATGGGCCTCACATTCAAATACAAATCGAGTAGTGCTGAACATTTGTGTCTATCGATCTTTTCATTGTTCACGAGAAAGTGAACTCGCTTTGAGAAGGAATCCCACTGGCTCACCACTGAATGCATTCCTTTATTTTCCGCAACGGTCATCGAATCCTCCCCCGCTTCTTTACTTCATATCTATCGTAATTCGACCTATTTCGCTAAAACATCTGCGCCACTCATCTTTGAATAGTCCGCATTTGTGGTCGTTTGTCGTTTCAGCCACTGATTTAACATTCGATACATTTAATGCCCCGACTTGATAGAGTCACACTGTTTTAATTTTGACATTTTGATTTCTCCTTTAGGTTGCTGTGATCGAGTCCGATCGATTAGCTAAAATGACTTCAGCACTCACCGAAGAAACCGGTTTGGCTTGCGCAATTTGCCTCGAGGGCTTCCGTAACGCTCCCCAGGAGGCTTTGGGTGTCTACGTGTACGTTCGCCAATGCCCGCTTGAGCAGCAGTTGTGTTATGAGGCGGAACCGGACAAGGTGTCCACAACTTTCCCCGTCCCAATTCCCAAAGGCTACTCCACATTGTCCAACTTTGTCGTCGTGCACTTCTCGTGCCATGCCAATGTGAGTTCACCCTATCGACCTTGTGCCCTGCTGCTTCGGCTTCAGCTTAGACCACTGCGAATACATTTCCTGGTGTTTGTCTTTCTCTCGAACGATATCTCGTGGTGCTTACAATCACGGTTGTGCCGTTCAACAGTGGGAACGTTTCTTCCCCCACTTATTTCCACTTCTAGTGACACTTACTCGCTTCTGGCACAGCCAGTTTCATTAGTTTCCGACACACATCTGCATTTCAGCCCCTCTCGTTTCTTATATCGACACAAACATACCGCTTATGTGTACAAGGGTCGTTGCACACCATTTCAGGTGGTTTTTACTTTGTAACCGTTAGCTTGTCAGTGATCCGCATCAGCCTGTTACACTTGGACCATACTTCAAGTCGAAGTCAGTCTTCGCAAACCGGTCCTTCAGGGGTAAAAAATTTAGTTAACAAATAAAAGTTGTTGTCGCGCATTAAAATATAGTTTTGATAACTGCCATAACTCGAAGTACCGGTAGCTCGGATCAACACCGAGCTGGCCACTTGTATGGTACATGTTTCACTGCCAATACAGGTGATGTCAATAGAGACGAGTCTGGAGTTGCTTCGAGCTCAATAGTTGCTTCCATTTGATATGGGCATTACTGCACAGACCGCACTAGTTGAACGCGACCAGTCCCAGTCATGTAACTATGTTCCGGGCACGGAAATGCGCTGGGTTTAGTTCCACGACTCGTCTCTCCAGGGTAAATATGGTTAACAATGGTGGGAAAGCTTAGCTTGAACCCAAGTGCAAACCATTGAACTTGAGATTAGTACTAGATGAAACATAATCCTCATGGACTATAACTGTTATGTGAAAGAAACGGGATGCAAAAATACCTGTGCGCGCCACCGCGCTATGTCCGTTACCGTCTCTAACCATTTATGATGACCTTTCGGACAATTTCTTTATGCCGCATCATCGGCTGGCCATCTCACGGTTTAGCCCAACTTGACGCAGAGGAAGTCCGTCAACGGGCATACTGAGGACATGACTTAGCCAATGTAAGCGGTTGAGATTTAACATATCTCAGCGAGAAACCAGACAATTTCTTGTCAAACGCGCCAACTGGTAGATTTCCGTGTTGCTCACTCAGTGTTCCCACCACATTTGGGCACTACTACACAGATACTGGTCAATCACCTAATATCTTCGGTGCGAAATGGTCTTGTCTTTGGTCCGCACCATAACACCGGTCTTGTCGTAGCGTCGTACACTTTCATTGACAAGTTGATATCTCACTATCTCCACGGATGACTTGAGCGTTAGAAAATTACATGGGCTTTATTGACAACCATGCAACTGATAGGAGAGTGGCCTACTGTTGTCAGCCAATCAGCACAGCCACCTAGGCGCATGGTTTTGCTCAGTGCGTCCAAGGACAGTCTGTTCGATTGACGATTATGTTGAGCCCACAGGACTTCCCGGTTACGGCAGCTATGAATCGACATAGCATTTTGTGCAATCCGTACGGGCGAATTGATATTACTTATGAATGGAAGGATTTTGGTGAGTATTTTTGTTCGTCGCAATCAGCCGACAATTCAGATATGTCGACCAGCTATCCGGAAAAGCACCAGACGGCCGTTTCGCCCTATTGGGGCTCATCAGTGGTGCGCATCCTGCGGTCCTCTGCGGAGGATCGAACCCATGACTGCTAGTGGCTCTTGCCAACTAGCCCGCAGCTTATGCAACTGCGCCATGGAGGACGGTATCCGACTATCCTCGATCCAGCTTTTCCGGATAGCTGGTCGACATATCTGAATTGTCGGCTGATTGCGATGAACAAAAATACTCACCAAAATCCTTCCATTCATAAGTAATACCAATTCGCCCGTACGGATTGCACAAAATGCTATGTCGATTCATAGCTGCCGTAACCGGGAAGTCCTGACGCCGGAAGGCCGACCGCTGTCATCTGCATGGCAGTGGAGGATGTGTCGGGCTATATCGCATTTAGCCAACAATTCATGATAGTCGGATACCGTCCACCATGGCGCAGTTGCATAAGCTGCGGGCTAGTTGGCAAGAGCCACTAGCAGTTATGGGTTCGATCCTCCGCAGAGGACCGCAGGATGCGCACCACTGATGAGCCCCAATAGGGCGAAACGGCCGTCTGGTGCTTTTCCAGATAGCTGGTCGACATATCTGAATTGTCGGCTGATTGCGACGAACAAAAATACCCGACATGTCTTATTTGTTTCATGTAGTCTGGCATAATTTAAAATCCTTAGATATTTTAATATAAACCGTGTCTTTTGCACATTTCGTTGCACACTCCAAGTTCACCGTTTTACGCAGTTTGACCGTTCACTACTAGTAAATAGAAATGTCACCAGGATTCATCTGTATAAGAGCCGTCCTGTTTAACGGAAGACTGCTTTCTACTGTGGCTCCACTTTCACTCGCTCTACATAACCATGTCACAGCCCGCTACACTACGTTTGGGTGAGCTACAGGACCCTACTGACCAAACGTCTTGAGAGTGCCGATTTTCTGAGCCGGTACCGCTCTGGATCCCATCGGTCCCATGATTTGCTCAAACTGGCCGCGATTCTCTTCACTAACTCACCTTTCTTCTTTTCTTCACGTTACATTTCAGTCTGTACGGTCCTCTCCGGAGAACCAGTGGGTCGTGGCCCAGCGGCACAATCGCGATGCGCGTTGCAATTCGATTTTACCTATCTTAGGGCCACCAACGAACTCTTCCACAGCCACACCAGAGGGCAAATCGAAGCCGAAAAGGGAACAGCACCCTTCAGCAGAGACGGTCTACGCAGAACACCTGGCCAATTTCATGGATTACATTATGGTAGTTTATATTTGCAGGATGCGTTTATTCTTGTGTCTCAACATGTCGATCTATTTGCACCCTTTTGACCTTCGCATGGGTCCGTGTTGAAGAGCCCTATTTCATCGCAAACTCCACTGCTTTGGTCATCTGTTTCCCCACATTTCGGACCATCATATTCTACTATGGTTTTTCATTCGCTGTCCCCGGCATGCGTATGAGTTTTATGAAGTTTACCGTGTTTTGCTATGCCTCTTCTTGGTGCACTGGTCCGGTCACCTGGGTCCGCAATCCGGGTGAAGCAGCCTCTTACATCTACTGACAGTTCCCACCATTAAGTCACATTGATTTGTTGTTGTCCCGCATACACAGTTACATGTTGTGGCTAATCTTTTTGGCGAAGTCGATATGGGGCACGCCTTTCCAACCTTTTTCCTCCTTTGCTTCCCTCTACAGCGCACCTTGAATGTCAGTCCGGGCTACGTGATGGCGTTACACGACGTAAAGAGCTTGTTAACTCGCTTCGCATGTAACCGTCAATTTCACCTGGAGATCGGAGGAGGTGGACGAGAGAGCAATTTACAACTGTTACCCCACCTGATACAGGTGCGTCGCGACTGCCCCGCTTTCACACTTGATGAGACCCCACCTCTTGCATGTTTTTCACCCCAGGCCACCGCGTGCTAATCGGATGATGCGAACAATTTCTCAACCGGTTTCCACTTCTGTCTTTGCATGTGACATGGTTGCATTATTTCGTATAGCGAGAGTCGCTGCCGTTTTTGCATTGTGTCCGTTCCCATTAATCACTGACAAAGTCACCATCATGGGTCGGGAAAAACAGCAATGAAGCTGTCTTGCGTACGTTCCCTCACTCCTAGTCCGTGGGCTATTTCCTTATGATCGTAGCCAACTTCTGCTATCCGCTAGCTTCTGCCTTCACTGCGTGTTTTCGGCTTTTAAGCACCACTGAGTTGGTATTTATTTGTTGCCCACTTGCTCTTTCGGTTACCAACCTTGGTTATTTCACTGAACACATCTGCTTATGTAAAATATATATTTCACGCTTTCCTAAAACTCTCCACTTTCCTATGCATAGTCATTTCTATCGCCGCTCACCTCGTTTCCATCCGGTGATCAGCTGGTTCATGTCAATCCATGCAGATTTCCATTCCGTTTTGGTTCTGATTGCCTGCTTGCAGCCCACTAGCTCTTCCTCTCTATGCTTTCTACATTTTCATTAGTTCGTCTATCGTGCCTTTGTTGTTCACTGTCTTTTGCAACGCGATGCATCCGCTATTCGGCCTGCATCTGATATCTGTTCTCACCCCCTCTGCTCCTCAGGTTGGCCTCCATTCGCTGTTAATGAGTTCGTCCGTCAACCAGAAGCTGAACGAGTTGACCGAGTTTCTCAACACCTCCACATTTGAGTACGTCTCCCATACTACCCTATTGGATCATTTTCGTTCCAAGTGCCCCGTGCATTGATCATTTGACGACACATTTTCATTCACTGCAGTTGAATGCAGTTGTTTATTGGCTCCACCTTGTACTCTTGTTCGACGCAAGCGCTTTAACAACAAAACAGTGCGTGGGATTTATGCTATGACCCGTGACGAATGCACTTGGCTCTATCGGGCAGGGACAGCCAGCGAACTATACAATACATTTTGGCACATGGATGCTTGGACCCCATTGCGTATGGTTTGAATCACACTGCGTCTGGTACCTATCACAACTATTCTCGATTTTGTCTTCATGGGTAGGCGGCGGTCGGCTTTTATTGAGGATCCATAGAAGATAGAAACTGCTGCGATAAATTCTTACCTAGGCGTTTGTGGAACGAACTCACCTGTCTACACCTAGACCCCTTGCAGTCGGGATTTTACTCACGTTCAAGCTATATTTGCTAGTGCCAATTTATCCGTTGGCTTTCAGCCTGCGAACCCACTCCAAACCCGTCGAGCAGAACTAACGCAGACGCACACAGATCGAACTAGTCGCTCCTGCTGAATTACAACAGTTCCGATTGCGCCTTCAAGGTTTATGTCATCATTGGTTGCTGTTACCTCTCCCTGTTACGACTGACGCTAGTATGCCTGATGCTCTTTGATCAGCCATTTCATGACCGTGGACACGAGATTGTTAGCATGCGTTTCGGCTCTGATTATTTGCTTTTCCCCCACACGGTGTCGCTGTTGCTTACTTAGCTCGCTTTTAGTTGAACCACCTACTCCTGGCTCTACTTTGCGATGTTACTAGTACGGCGGTTACAGTATTTTCTACCCTCGATTATTGCGCTGCTCACTCAGCAGATTGCTCTGTCCTTAACCATTTGACACAGCTACATCGCTGGTAGTCATCGACTCTTACCGTCTAACATCTCCTGGATAAGTTGGTGGTGTCCCGTTTATCATTATACAGTTACCCAGATTGCTGTGTGACTTACCATCTCGTTTTGGTGTCCGGTATCTCACCGCGGATCGCACCCAAGATCCGAGGTTGTGTGTTTCCTTCCCGTTTATTTGCTATAGCGCCCAGTTGGATCCCGAGTCCAGCTTACTAGCTGGGTAGAATTTCATTCCTATTTGTTGTCAACCTCTCTCAGCTTCTCAGATTTTCATCGCATCTTTGTTGCCCTTTATTCCTGCGCCACACTCGTCTGTGTTGCGTGACACCCCTCCTGTTCCTCCTATTCCCTCAGTTGGTCATCATCCAATCGTTGCTGGAATTCTTCCGGTCCTCTATACTACATAGTGGCCGCGTTGCATCTATGGCCACGTCAAACATGGCTACGTAATCGCTTGTCAATGCTCCTGCGTCTCATCCAAATGGCATGTGGCCGAATAAAGCACATGGGACTGAGTGCTGTTCAAGACCCCGATTCTCGCTTTTTGAACTTTAAACCCTACCTGATCTTTTTCGCTTTGGTGGATGCTTGTTACGAATATTTGTTCAAGGTGAGCTCTTCACCCTCACCTCCACCCGGAAGGTTTTGCGTTCTCACTTATTGTACTCCCTGTCGGTGTTTCTCTAGTCAATTCGGTTTAGGCTTCCATCCGAATTACGCGCCTTTCTCTTGAACTACTGACGGCCACCACGGCGTGGGTCTTGTCATTTAGATCGACAGCTGCGTACACACTCACTGGATTTCAGTCACCTGCCATCAAACTTTTTCTTTTCATAACCTCCGATTGGATTCCGAAACGCTTACACATACCCCAACTAGATGCACTATTTTCATCCTGAGCTTTAGCACACATCCGCACTTTTGGAACCATCCTTCACTTGGCTAAGAAATCCGCTCGACCGCCCCCACACTTACAGTTATTTGGCCGACGGAGCCTATTGATCGAATCGGGTCCGAGCCGAACTCATTACCTTACGTCTCAGGTCCTTGGAATCCATTACCCTATTTTCACTGTGATTACTCATCCGATTAGTGATACTAATGCGATTGTGTTACTAAAGTCGGGATGATCAAAATTTCACTCATGTGACACCGAGCACCTTTAAAAATGGGCGGTCTACCAACCCACCCGTGCCATCACGGCCGCTAAAACAGGGTACTCAGATAATAGCGTACGCACTATACATACCGCGAAGGTATCCTCAAAATATACCAAAATCTAGCATGCATGTAATGGCTCGTGTTCCTGGCTCACCGACGCACTCAGAATTCGCTATCCACACGCATACCTACCACTTTAGACAAAGCACGGACGATAGCAGCACCCGTGGAATTATGGAGGGGATCATACTTGGTAGTGCCAACTGCGATTTACGGAGGTACGATTGGGCTGCACTGGTGGAACTTCGCTCTCAATCAATCGGGTCTCTTCTAGATTCTCTGTTGTGACAATCACAACTTACGTTGTGAGTCGTAGAAAACATATCCGCACTATCTCCACCCCATTCTGTGGTGGCAGCTTGCTACTGTGTCTCAATTACGCGCCACTGCTGACAAACCGGCAATCACCGGTTACGGTACAGGGAGGTTCCAGTCAGATTTAAGCTTATTTGTATTTCCTATTGGATTCAGATCACTTTACTTCGTACACTAACGCTATTTATTGTTTTCATTCTCCTCAATTTCCCAGGACGTCCAATGCACTGTGACGGATTCCACCTCCTCCTCGAATTGGTGCTCAGCTCTTTCGCAGTACATCAGCACCTCCGATGAGGCAATCTTGAAGGCCGTCCCACGTCTGCTTACTTTTTACCAGGACGAATTGCTGTCCATCTCCAATGTGGACGCTTTTGCTGATGTGACAGGTGAGTGCCTGTGTCATTGCTCTCCACCTGATATCATATACTGTGGCTTGGACCTCTGTTCTACTGCCTTCAACTCAGTCATCGTGGCTGCTGCATTTCATCTTAAAAGCCGCAATACTGGTGACAGATTCGTATCGGTTTACTCCGTGTTTGGTATGGGGTGTTTTTCATTGCATCATGCAGCAACAGGCCGCCTCTTCAACAATAGGCAGAATCTATCAGTTGGTCCTCATCCGTCGCCACTTATCTCTGTGAATCTATCCGGACGTTTGCGATCCCACATAGCATCTGGTGAAATTTCCTACTAGCTACGTGGCAGTATCGTGTACACATTCCGAGGATATGCGAACTGGTTTATCCACACATACTAACTGTGAATTCCTAACTCACCAATGCAAATTTGCCACTGCAAATTCCTCATTCATCGATGTGACTTGACTACCATCTTTGCTTCACATTTGTAGCCGCAACAGTCAGCAAAATTGCTAATATTGACCGCATTTAGTGTCAGTGAATTAACTGATGTACTGCCTATTTTCCACTTTCTCCTTAGTATTTGTTATATAACTTTTATCTATTTGCGGACATGGATTCATCTCACACCAATATTCTGACGCTTTATTCTAACGCACCACATATTATTCAATTGAACGGGTGCATACTTTTTGAACTCTGTACGTGGAATTATATCCGTATCCGATTGCCCGTCTCTTCATTTACTCGTAAGTTATACGCCTCCATTTACTTTAAAATCACTTATGCAGAATCACGGTTACTTCAGTACAGTTTGTTTTGTCCATTGCTCTTAATTCTAACAGCCTAGACCTTGCGTTTAGCGATTTCTACAGTAAGATTAACCATGACAATTATTTCGCAGTCGTTTTGCCGTAATTATTTCTGTGATCCATGCTCTCACATCCGACTCATTGTACTTACGTTTTCGTCTCTCACACATCAATTTGAATTTCACTATGCCACTTGGGAGAGTGCTCCTTCCGAGCTACGGTATTTCTTCCACCAAAGGAACGAGCTCATATCCTTCGTCTAACCTGGTTTTTTGTAACCCTCTGGTTCCCAATTCCAAAGGAAACGCTGTCGTCCAGGGGCGACCCATGTACAGCTCTCCTCGATTCCTTCCTATTCCATCGTCTGCCAGTCATATGTATTTGTCAAACTCTGCATTATTTGGTAGTTTATCGATGGGGCTGCACACTAGGCCTTGGCTAGTCCATTTTAGACATCTTTTCTTTCCTTACATGTATTAGTTAAAACCAGATACCCGTATAATTTCAGCTAAATAACTTGATCACTTCACACATTTTCCTCAATCACACTCACGCAACCAGTACTCCTCCAAATGACAAGCTTATATCTGATCGATCGGTGGTCTTCTGGTTAGCAATTGATGTACTTTGCGACACAACGATTAGTAGGGAGCCACAACTACCTGTTTCTGCAAGCGGGCCGGCCGTCTCCCTCGATCAGTAACAGTGACCTCCAGCGGCCTGATAACGTGGTACTTTTGCACATAAGGACGTTAAATAAATCATCGGTTTCTCGACTCGCGATTCTGACTTCAAAGAGTGCGTCTATCTGCGTGGCCTATTGGGGATATGTTCGGATATAAAATGAGACGTGCGTCTTTTTGCCTTTGGCACATCAGCCAAACATGTAAGCAAGTGTCCTGTCGACACGAATGACTGCTGTTCTGCTGCATTGTACGCCGTTTTTAGTGAAGTGCTCATCCGTTTCACGCTTGTTTTCATGATATTGTAGCTTCTGTACATTTTCTCAATAAAGATTAGCTTCTTTGAGACTTCAAACGCCCTGTTTCGCTTGGATATGTCACTGAAGCATTTGACGGATTGCAACGGATAATCATTGAATTGTAGTCCTTCGAATGACCTTTATCTCTTTATGCATGTCGCCTCTTTTCTTCCGAGTTGCATCATTGTGCAATTTGCTAATAGCAATAATAACCACAATAGTAGTTTGTATATTTTTCTAACATGTACGTGGATGTGCTCACAATTGTTCTGACGTTCGTAGTGTGCATGTGGTCAATGTTTGTGCATATAGATGTTCCTGGAGCAATATGGGTTCGTTACACCAATTGTTTACTGAAAACCAGCCAGTGTGAACCCAAATTTACAATTGTGTATCGTTTATGTGTGCTCTGCACGTGAAATATACCCATGTATAGCTCACTAATCATAGGTTGGATTTCACTCAAAATCGTTGTGTCTAGCTACTCATTTGGAGGTTGTTTCGCCGCGGAGACTTTACCAACTGCTCGGGGGCGTCCATTCCGTGTAAACATTTTTCTTTTTCACGCGAAAGCTATTTGATGTTTTATTGAAGCACTCCTTTAAACTTGGTGCAGTCGTTGCTATCCTGCCGACAGTTCTATGTGCGCCAATTGCTCGAGAATGTCCTACTTCACTTGGAATTGTGTGATTTGTACTCCACAGTCTTCTAACTACTTCCAGCATGTCTCCTGTGTACTCCACCTGCACGGTATTATGTGTTTGGTCATTCTGTTTGTGATATTTCAACTTTTTATATAGCCCGACCCAGTGTACTGCAGCAGCTAACCAAGCATCTCCAAACAAAGCAATGTGCGAGACCGTCAGATGGTCAATCCACCTGTGGCGTTTGCTTTAGGACAGCTGAACTTTTGTTTTACCTTCTTGTTGGTGCTTTTCGCTCCATTCCAATCATTGTATGACACTTTTCTCACGTTCTCCTTTTTTATCCCCAGGTTTGATGACAGAAATTCAAGCCAATGAACTGGCCTCAAGTATGGATCTTCCAAGTGTCTGAATGCGCGATTCCCGTTCAAAATGCTACCCTCTTTTCCTTATCTATCGCCATCCCCTAACTAGCTGTCGTCGACGCATTGATCCATCTGGCACTACTTGCCAAACGTCTGTCGAATGAATGCATTCAGAATCAGATTGTCCAGTATTTTGATTGATCTCTTGTCTCAGCCGCGCCACTGTCTACCCGTCCTCTGGGAGGACGCTGGTGCACTCTAGTTGGTACCATTTTGACTTGTTTGCTTCACTAATCCTCCTCGTTTCGAGTGTTTGCAATTTAAAGCGGGGCGCCGTATCCGTACACTACTTCTGTATTAACGAATGTCTTTTTCATTCTCATTGTGGCTGGGCTAGTTCCGCTTCATAACCTGAAACTTTTCACCTGATGTCAACGGCTTCTGTGCATCTCTACCGAAGCGCTCCATAAATGCTGTCACTGTCGTACTGCATGCGTACCCCATTTACATCCACATCTGCGGTAATGATCTCCTCCTCATATCCGACGGTGACAACCAGCCGCCTTGCCGCCATTCGTGCTTCATGTGTTGGTGTGATGTGTCGACTCCCACGATCTACTACTCTTGGTGAATGGGTAAGCATTGAAATCATCGAACGGAACATTTAATAGCTAGAATCTAGGCAGGTTATCTAACCACTGATGTGACAAATTTCGAAGATCACAACTGGGAATACGACAAAGACCAGTTCGTCTCAGCTTTTTGGGGACCTTGCATATTTGTTCGCCATCTCATTGACTGTCCGCCTAATCTAGCTGCCAGGCCCAATATTGGCAAACAATGCACACGGCACCATGACCGAACCGACGACGGTGGTTCGGATTTCTCAGGCGCTCTGATGAGTCACCTAAGTCTTTTACGGAACACCAGACAGTGGACTTCGATATTTTACTGCTTCGTCTCAGCCGTTTACACGCCAGATAGTACAACCAACCATCAGACGGCCGACTCGCCAGATTGTGGCTTGCCTGTGGTACGCATCTTCAGGCTCCATCAAGGATCGAATCCATGATCGCTAGCAGATTACGCTACTAGCAAGCAGCTTATACCACTGAGCCATGGAAGTCAGTGTCTGCTCATCATAACTTGCAAGCTAACTATGATATAGTGCCAGGCAGGTCACTACTATTGCACAAAACAGAGACTGATCTTCAGCAGCAGCTATGCACGCATAGCACTTGAAGGCTGCTACATAGCAGAGTCTAGTCCGGAAAAGCATCAGACGGGTTTCGCCTTATTGGGGCTTGTCAGTGGTGCGCATTCCGTCGGTCCTCTAAGGAGGATCGAACCCATGACTGCTAGAGGTAGATGCCAACCAGCTGACAACTTAAGCCACTGAGCCATGGTGGACGTTGGTTGGGCTACATAATTTGCAAATAACTGGGATATAACACCAACTATCTTCCACTGTCATTGACAGTGGTTAGCCTGATAAGGCTTTCATCCCAATATTTCGCAAGCTACATAGCAGAGCCTAGTCCGGAAAATCCTGCTACTCGTGAGTAATATAAATTAAAAGTCACCTCCTAGTTCCAAATGCTATGGATATAGCGTTTAGCGAGAGGATGTCATCACCTCGCAGGCTAACCACTGTCAGTGGACGATAGGTGGCGCTATATCCCAGTTAGTTTGCCAAGTATGTAGCCCAACCAACGTCCTCTGTGGCTTAAACTGCTGGCTAGTTGGCATCTTCCTCTAGCGGTCATGGGTTTGATCCTCCTTAGAGGATCGAGGGAATGCGCACCACTGACGAGCCCCAATAGGGTGAAACTCGTCTGGTGCTTTTCCGGACTAGGCTCTGCTATGTAGCTTGTGAGCTATTGGGATGAAAGCCTTATCAGAAATATACCTTTTCTTTAATCATACTCAAATAGCTCCGATAGAGTGTTGCCCGTTGGTCCGCCTGATACAGTTTGTGCGCATTGAAAGACGATGTGGGTGTGAAATATGTCTCGGATTGAGACAGTTGTTCTCCAAGCTCAGTGAACAAAACAACCCTCTCATCCACACCCTTAGCTGCAGATTTTCACAATTGTTTCCAAATATCGGCTTTCCTGACCGCTTGTCTGAGGGGGGCACAAAAGTGGTCGCTTGTTAACAAACAAGTAGAAGCGGTCCGTGAATTGGAACATGTACCTAGGGGTGGTTTCTGGTAGGTAGTTTAAAATCCAAGGGTGGGGTCTTGTTCGGTGCATCCTTTCTCTAGTTTTTGACGCAACAGTCTGACGCACAGGGCAGTGAGCGCAATCTTAGCTCGGGAATGTAAATGATGGGCCTCGGTGGGCTCCACTTGAAGCCAGTCACTCAAATCCTCGAAAAATCCAGGACGATGCAAGTATGTTCGTTGGCCGTAGTATGTGCGCACTTTTGACCACAGCTAGCCGCAGATGGGATTTTGCAGGTCTTTTTCTTTTTGACCACGGGCTCCCTGGCTTTAGGTGGGATAACAAAGCATCGAGCACAGATGATTGTCTCTCACTGTCTGATACAACGTGTAGCACTCTTGTTCTACACCATTCTAGCTGTGAATGGATGTCAACTACCTCTTCACAACTGCCGAAATTGAGGCTACACAGACCGAACTGCTCTGACACATTGCCGTTGATCTCAGTGGATCACGGAAGAACGCAAACCACCCCACGATGTCAGGAGCCAATCTTGTTGTGACAAGTGTATGGCCACCAATTGAAGCGTCAATCCAATGCGGCTATTGATAGATGAAAGACTGTGTAAACGTCGGAGGAAACAGAGATCTACGTCCTTAAACGAGTGCAACCAAATACCATTGACATCCTCAGAACAACGCGCTGTAAGAACTATCAAGCAATACACGTTATAAAGTGACAGTTTGTGAAAACCAAATGCTGCACAGAGTGTATAAGAATTTGATTCTCCCTTAAAGTCCAAGAAAATAGGCCGTATCGCCACTGACCGTGGCGTGTCTTCTAATGAACCGATCGGGGTAGCCGTTATCTTGCAGCGTTCGAAAGATGCGGTCTTTCTCCTCTTCCAAGGTCTCCGGGAGGATGGGTCACTTGAAAGAAACTTCTTCCGGAAAGCTACATAGGCAGGCCAGTACCCCCACTTTCTGAGATACGCTACGGTCCGTGTGTGCCAAGCAACTGTTCTGACTGCATGAAAGAGATGTCTGTCTCTCAGTTCCGTTCAAATGCGATGTTGCTCTCGATCTGCTGCGCAGACGACTCTCTGACGCAATTGCTAAAGTATGTCCAGCCGTCTACCCGCGTGTTCTTGCCCAAACGACTCCGTTTATCCCCCAGCGCCTTAAGTACAGACTGCCGATTCAGTCCCAATGGTATGTTCCAAATCAATTTACTTGCACTTGTTTTGTAAGCTATTGAACACACGACCAAACGGATAGCAGAACAGTGTCCGGGATCCCTACGAAGAGGAATGGTCAGAAATCCTAGTAGTGCTATCATGGAGCACCTATTTCATACTGACCATGAGATACGGACAGAAGATTCATTCAGTTTTCTACGCCCTATCAAAGCTATATCCAGAAGGGCATAGAAAGCGACTCTTGAAGACGGCTGAGGCGATTGCAATCAGAGTGATTCAGCCAGAATTGTTTAAACAGAGGCTTCTTCTCCAAGCCCTTCTGTTACCGTGGTCGGGTGGCAATTCCTCCGCATCGGAAGCTGAAAGCAAACGAGGATGATCTTCATCCTAATGGCTGTCACGGGACTTGCCTTGAATGGATCGATGCTACTATTGATGGAGTTGCGTTGTTCAAATCACTTTCTTTATTAATTTTAGTACTGCTTTCACCAGCACACATAGTTGATTTACACCTTCTTGTAAGTATCTTGTCTGACGAGAGTTATCGAAAAGGGAGCGCCGCTTCGCAAGTTGAATTTCGTTTGTGCTGGATGTCGTGGTGTTTTTGCGGATCCGTAGCTGTTTAAGGACGCAGGTCCCTTATATCCGCACAGCGAACTCAAGCATTCAACCAATCTGAGGCTCTTAAAAGTGGTGACAAAGATAGGACCATGATCCTGACACAAGATGAAGCAAAAGCATAAAGAAATTTTCTCGGAGTTCGCTTCACTCGAAGATATCACTCGATGGGCTGATCAACTTCAATCTAGTATACGACGACGAGGAAGAAGAAGCTCGGTGGACTAAAAACCGCAGTTCGGATAAGTCTCAGTCCTCCACCCAGACAAGGAATAGAGCAGTCAACGTGAAACCAGCCTGCTGACCTATGCCCTTTGCGCCAATCGATGTGCAAGTGTCTCAACCACGTTGCAACCTATGGCAATGACCCGAGTGCAAATGGAAAACATAATGAAAGACCAATAGCAACAAGACAAAAGTAGAAATCTCGTAAGCTTATGTATGCGACACGGTAGTGGATGACGGCATCCTCTTTTGCATTTGCATTCCACCAGCCCCTGTGGCGAAGCTGTGCTAATCCTGCACTAACAATGTTATCTTACATTATTATGAAATGTTGCCATACGAACTGCCCAGCCCGGCTAACACTACAACTGATGGTTAACTCCTTAACCTCTAGCTAACTATGCATCATCGTACAAAAAGTATAGCTCCGAACGAGGGTTTTTAGTCGGTCAGTTCATGAGCGACCTGCATACAGGCACTTTAGCACGCATTGGAAATAAAATATAAAACGACTATATGGGAAACGTTTTCTGACAGATTCGCGCTAGCCTCCTTTTACCTAAAACGAGGTTTCTTTTGGCTGTGCGTTCCGTTTTATGGCCTACCGAACCATCTTGGCATTGACTTGCAAGTCTTTCACAGCATCATTCAGCAGGAGACTGATGGGTGTTTTCGCTGCAACTACTACGTCCTCTTGTTCACGTCTACCATCAACAACATTATACACGTTAGCTAGAGGTGGGAAACAACTCATCTACTGTGCCGCAATACATAGAAGGAAAAAGGGAGAGAAAAAGCAACAGATGCAAGCCAGCTGAGCTACCGGTAACGGATGGGCATCGTTCCGGTAAGCTATCTGCCGGCTACTATGCAGCAGAAAAACAATTTCTGTATAAAATTATATAAGGCTAAATAGTGAGATCGTGATTGGAGGGGAAGGCTAAAAGGGATGGGGTGGGACAAAAAAATTCACAGCACCAACGCCACTTAGCTCCGCTCCTAGCCATGTCTGCAAGCGTATCCAGCCAAGCGTGTTCATCGTCTTTCGGACCCCAATCAGGGAGCCGAGAACCTCCAGCTGAGACCAGCTTCGAAGTGAGGGCCTTCATTCCTCTTGACCAAGTTATCGCTTGGTCACCTCTCCTCTTCTTCCAT